TATATATATATATTTAAATTATAAATAAAAATATTAAATATAGATATTAAATAAAAATATTATAAAATATTAAAATCATATAACAGAATTTATAAAACAATAAATAGAATACTGAACAAAAATAATATAGAATAATAAAATTATATTAAAATAAATTATCATAATAAAAAAATTATGTATTATAAAAATAATAAATAAAAATTCTTTTTAATTAGTTAGGTTAATTTAATGTACAATTATATCTATTAAAACTTGTTTTCGGATACATATAATTTACCTAGGAAAGATATAAACTACTGCACTTTATATAGCGAAATATCGCATTTTATAAAACAACACATTGCACCTTATAAAACAACACATTGCATTTTATCACCACGCTCTACAATTAATGTCAACGGCTCCCACCAAAATATTTCGCGATATAAATTTAACAAAAAAACGAATCTACATGATATGATATCCACCACATCATTTATCCACACAAAAAAAGCATGATAACGTGCCAAAATTTCAGCGTTGAACTATATATATCAATTGCACTTTATACATCAATATGTTGCACATTATAACACAACATGTTGCACCCTATAGAACAACATTCTGCACCTTATAAAACAACAGGCTACACGTACCATAATTGGAGTAATTTTTGCTAATCAATCAAATAATATTAGTTTGTTAAATATAAAATTTATTTCTTTTTAAACAAACAAAATAACCGAACATTTCGACATATATTAAAAATAATACCATATATTTTTTATTTATATTTTTTTATGAAAAATAATAATATTTATTTTAATCAATATTTTTTATGTATCACGCGTGCACAATATTACTATACGGATTGCACGTGTAAAATTTTATATTTTGGTTCGATTGTTATTATTACTTTTTTACATATCGGTTATTTGGGGTACGATGACATTTTTTTATTCAAATAACCGAATAAAAAAAACTAAACCGACCAAACTAACTTTTTTTTTTATATATTTTGTACAAATATAATTTGTTTTGTTACTTTACAAAATTCGATTATTATTGGTCAGTGTCGGCCTTTTTTTTTAAACTCGAAATAACTAAACAACTGAACTTTATAAAAACAGTCCAAATAATTAGAAGAGAATAGAAAGATTCATTTTCAGGATTGATTTATCCATCCCGAATGCAAAATAATATTAGTTTTCTATATATATTTATTTAAATATATTACTTAATTTCAACTCATCGAATAAAATGATTATTTCATATCAATTTATTTTGATTTATGACAACTCGTTAAAAAATCCTGATCTGCACAATTGTGTTGTACGAATTGCACATTAATGACTATGAGATTGCACCATAACGAATGAAGCTGACCAAAATAACATTTTCGGTTCAAAAAATTATAATTTGATTCGATTATCTTTTTTTTTTTGACTTTTTTTATAAACTCGATTATTTCGGCTCAATGTAGGCTTTTTATTTTAAAAAAAATCAAAGTAACTAAACCGAATTATATACAAATTATTATTATTATTATTATTATTATTATTATTATTATTATTATTATTATTATTATTATTATTATTATTATTATTATTATTATTTTATATAGTTTTATGTAAATGATACCAACATTTAAAATGAAACAAAATATTGGAAGAGGAAGTATGTTTTGATTAATTACCATTTTGTCATATAATAAATTGTGCAGCAACATAACAAGTTAAAAAATTGCAAATAGAACCCGCACATATG